AAAAAAAAAAAAAAAAACAGAGTGAAAAAGTTTTAAAGGCCGGAGAGGGCAGCTCACCCTGAAACTGCTCAGGAGCATGATGGGCCCGGGTTACTCACAGCTCAGGACGATCTGGGCGGCTCGGTAGAGCTCCAGGCGACACAGGAGGTCCACAAGCTGCTGGACAGTGGCCTGCCGCATGCCCCACCACCACAGCAGCTCCCGTGTGATGCTCACACCCTGCACGCGCTCCATGGACTTGATCTTCCGCAGCTGGGTCAGGTCTGTGATCACATAGGAGGCTGGAAGGCGAGGGAGAGGACTCTGCTTAGGGTTGGAGAAGTTAATCGCTAGCCGGGTAGCCCCAGCCAGGAGGTGTCCAAGACATCTTCCCCACTCACCCCTCCTGGACCAGAAATGCCATTAGCTGGGGTCCACAAGTGGCCCAGGTGACAACCTGCACACAAGACTTAGGAGAAAGACCATAAGCCAGGAAGGTCAGAGCCTTGAGCTTGGGCTGCTTTTTGCTGTGGGCGGTCACTTCCCCAGTGGGTGCCCTCTCCCCTTCTAGAATGGGAGCCCCTGGAAGGTAGAAAGTTTTACCTAGCTGGGCTCAGTGGCTCAGCCTGTAATCCCATGCCTTTGGGAGGCTATGGTGAGTGGATTGCCTGAGCCCATGGATTCGAGACCCGCCTGGGCAACTTGGCGAGACCTCATCTCTACAATAAACCATAAATCAAAAAATTAGCCAGGTATGTAGCACGCGCCTGTAGTTCCAGCTACTTGGAAGGCTGAGGCGGAAGGATCGCCGGAGCCAGCAAGTCAAGGCTGAGGTGGCCGGGAGCGGCCACTGCACTCCAGTCTGGGCGACAGAGTGAGAGTCCAACTCAAAAAAAAAAAAAAGAAAGTTTTACCTGTTTGGTTCCCTGTTACTTCCCCAAAACAGAGACCAAAGCCCAGCCAAGAACAGAGGCAGGCCAGGCCGAGGGTGAGGCAAGTGGGGCACTTCAAGAGCCTGGTGCAAGAGGACGCTCACACTCAGAGCTGACCTTGCACTCACAAGACCCTGAGAACAAGTGCCTCCTCAAGTTTGCCCCTGGCATCTCGCCTCCTCAGCTAAGTCCCAGTCCTGGTGGGGAGCTCAGTAAGAATACATGAATGAATGCATAAATGAACGAACTCACGACCCACTGTCCTCACAGAACTGTTACATGGATCAAGGGAGCCCATGGATACAAAGGCACTTTGTCAGCTCTGAAGTACTGGCCAAAATTGCAGGGAGCCACCGTTGGCAATAATAAGAAGAATGCACTCTTCCTTTTTTTTTTTTTAACCACAGAATTAATGGCTGTTCACCAAAAAAACCATGGGAAATGCAAGGGAAAAAGTTATGCAACATATCACCATCCTCCTGGGGCTACTAAGGCTCTTCCACTTTCCAAAAATCAACATAGTTGTTGCCAGATTGTAGGTAAGATTTTCCATCCTGCCCTGATTTACTAGCATTATCCCATCAGCATTTTCTGAGCTGTTGCACCCTTCAAAATGGTAATTTTGATGGCCAGTATCCCACTGAGTTTACTGAAGTGAGGGAGGCATTATTTAAAACTAGGAATAGGGCAACCTCCTGGGTCCCCTATTCCTAGCTTTAAGTAATGCCTCTGGGAACTTTTCTGTCATTCCAATAAATTCTGCTTTCAAAAAATAAAATAAAATAAAACCAGGAATAAAGGAATCAAGCTTAGTTCTGAGATTTCAGAAATCATGGGGCAGGAATCAATGTTCTTCATTCACTCTTCAACAACACATCATTGAGCATCTACTGTGCACCAGGCCCATGACAGCTCTATAGATCGTGTGGCGAGTGAACCAAAGCCCCACGGTGCTTTCCTATTCAGAAAATACAAAAGCAGTGGGCTGAGTGGGAGGAGGTGATGTGAGAGAGGAAGCCCAGGACCACATAATGAAGAGCCTCGAGCAACTGCCATGCTTTGGAGTTTGGACTTGACCCTAAGAACCACAGGGAAGCCGGGCTTGGTGGCTCAGCCTGTAATCCGGCACTTTGGGAGGCTGAGGTGAGTGGATTGCCTGAGCCCGTGGGTTCAAGACCCACCTGGGCAACTTGACGAGACCTCATCTCTACAATAAATCAAAAAATTAGCCGGGGATGGTAGCGCGCGCCTATAGTTCCAGCTACTTGGAAGGCTGAGGCAGAAGGATCGCCAGAGCTCAGCGGCTCGAGGCTGCAGTGGCCAGCAGCGTGCCGCTGCACTCCAGTCTGGACAACAGAGTGAGACTCCAACTCAAAAAAAGAAAAAAGAACCACAGGGAACCACAGAAGATCTCAGAGTGACATGGCCGCATTGCACAACCCCCTCCCCTCTGGACAGATGGGCTGTGATGGCCTCCTGCAGTGAGTCTCCAGGAGAAGTGCTCCTTTAGGATGGAAAGTTCCTAAGTTGCAACTTGAGTCACTGGAAACCCCAGGCCAGATTCCTGGTCCACCCGGAAGTGATGTCAGCAGGTCAGGGTGGCTTCCAGCAGCACAGAGAAAAGAGCAGAGGGAAGAGGAAGGAAAGCCTCTCTCACGAAACCACTGTCCATCCACACACACTTCCCACCCTTGGGAGGTTGTGTGACGTAATGGAAAACACAGGAGCCCAGGGCGGCCACTGGTGGCTAGTTGCAGCGGGGACTCAGCCATGGTCCTGACCCTCCATGGGCTGAACCTTCCTCATTCATAATGCAGGAAAAATAAGAACTGACTCTAAGGTGCCTTCCAGTTGGGTCATTTTCGTTTCATGAAAGTGACGTATCTTAAGATATTGACCCGCCAGGCACAGTGCCTCACGCCTATCATCTCAGCACTTTGGGAGGCCGAGACAAGAGGATTCCCTGAGCCTAGGGGTTTGAGATCAGTCTGGGCAACTTGGTGAGACCTCGCCTCTACAATAAATTTAAAAATTAGCTAGGCATGGTCGTGCATGCCTGTGGTTCCAGCTAGTTGGAAGGCTGAGGTGGAAGGATCGTTTAGCCCAGCCAGTCAAGGTTACTGTTGCCGTGAGCATGCCACTGCACTCCAGCCTGGGCGACAGTGAGACTCTGACTCAAAAAAAAAAAAAGAAAAGAAAAGAAAGCAGAAGAAAATCAAAGTTCTCATGATCATCCCACTTGGAAGACTCCAAGAAAACCACTGGCTATATTTTGGTAACATCTTCCAGACTTTTTTTTTTTAAGTCAGGGTCTCACTCTGTCATCCAGGCTGGAGTGCAGAGGCACAACTGTGGCTCATGGCAGCTTCAACTTCCTGGGTTCAAGCAGTCCTTCCACCCCAGCCTCCTGAGAAGCTGGGACTACAGGAAAATATCACCATAGCCAGCTAAGTATTATTATTATTATTATTATTGTGATACTTTGTAGAGATGAAGTCTCACTATGTTGCCTAGGCTGGACTCAAACTCTGGGCTCAAGTGATCCTCCCACCTTGGCCTCCCAAAGTGTTGGGATTATAGGTGTGAGCCACCATGCCCTGCTCTTTTTTCTATAGATATAAAAGCATGTGCATATCTCAAGAGGACAGTACAATGGTGGTTTGGAGTCAGACCTTGGGATTTGGGGCCTGGGTTCAAATCCAGTCACTGCTGCTTATTTGTGCATTTGGGGAAGGCCTTTCACCTCTGCCTGAGCCTTGGCTTTGTCATCTGTCAAATAAGGATAACAGCACCACCTGTCTCAGAGGTTGTTGCAAAGACTGAATGAGTTATACATATAGAAGCACTTGGAACAGTGCTTGATACACAATCAATGTGGTATAAAAGTTAGCTGGGAGGGTTAAACTATCCATCGCTGCTGGTTAACAGTATATAGAGGCCATCGCTCCAAGTTCCTGAGTCCTGCAGTTCACCTGATGTACAAAACCTTGCCCAACTTCAAACAGGGATGGCACAGCCTCTGAAATGACCCGTTTGCCTGGGGTCAAATGCCCTTCCTCCAGACTAACCAGGCACCTCCCTGGGTAGAGGAGGGCGGAAGCCCTGACACGACCCTTCACTAAGCCTCTCAGCAACTGCGTGAGGGTCTTACTACAGATGAGGAAACTAAAGGCTCAGAGACGGGCAGTCACTGACCTGAAGTCACACAGCTGGCCAGGGGCAAAGCAGGGCTGTGCACAGAGGCTGGCACAAGCATGAGTGGACAAGAGGGAGAGCGGCCCAACCTAACAGCCCCTGTCCCCAGGGCCCCCTGCACGTGCCTGAGGAGGTGAGGCTGCAGGAAGCCCATTTTGCATGGGTTCAGACTCCAGTGGACGCTGCAGCAGTCACGGAGAAATGAACAAGAAGCAGCCAAATTATCTGCCAATGCGTCGAGTCCAAAAGCTCGTGCCTGGGGAGGCGTGATGTGCTGAGCTTCTTCGGAGTCCTTCCCACACGCACCTCCCAGTGCCACCCTCAGCTCTGAGGGCCGTCTTCTCCCCAAACGGCCCACAGAAGCCAAGACTGTTTAGAACTGAAAGGAACATCACAGTCACTCATTCAGCTGCAGAGGACACCGGAGAGCACCGGGCCTGGGTGAGGAGCAGCAGGCTGGGTGGTGCAACCAGCTCCCGGCCCCATGGCCTCCAATCAACATAGGAAGCAGCTGACCCTGGGCTTTGACCCTGGACTCCACAGGGTGAGACAACACGGCCCGCATCCTCACCACGGCCGTCCCCTTTGGCTCATCATGTGCTCTGGTGGCTGCCGAGTGCCTGTCCACTCAGCAGGTGCCGCCCCAGGCCCTGGGAATGCAGGTGTGAACTAGACAGGCAAGGTCCCTGTCCTCATGGCGTTTACACTAGGGACAGACAACTAAGAGAGACAAATAAGGGACAAAGTCACATCTAAGCCCGTGAACTGGAATGAAGGAAATGAAACATGGTGATGGGTCAGAGAAAAACAGGGGGCAAGAAAGGCCTTCTGGGCTGGGTGTGGTGGCTCAGCCTGTAATCCTCACTTTGGGAGGCCAAGGAGAGAGGATTACCTGAGCTCAGGGGTCCGAGACCAGCCTGGGCAACTTGGTGAGACCTCATCTCTACAATAAATCAAAAAAATAAGCCTAGCTCACACCTATAGTTCCAGATACTTGGAAGGCTGAAACAGAAGGACTGCCTGAGCCCAGGAGGTCAAGGCTGCAGCGGCCGGAGCATGCCACTGCCCTCCAGCCGACAGAGTGAGACTCTAACTCAAAAAAAAAAAAGGTCTCTGTCTCTGGTTGAAGCAACACAGAAGTGGACTCCTGAAGCCCTAGGGTAGACAGAATAATAACTACCCCCCTGCAAGACATCCACATCCTCAGTCACAAGACCTGGGAATTGGGTACCTTATGTGGTAAAAGGGACTTTGCAGATGGCATTAATTTTTTTTTGGTCAGGGTCTTACTCCGCCATCCAGGTTGGAGTACTGGGGCATAATCACAGCTCACCATAGCCTTGACCTCCTGAGCTCAGGCAATCCTTCCCCTTCAGCCTCCCAAATAGCTGGGGCTACTACAGGCATACGCCTCCAAGCACAGCTAATTTCTTTAACTTTCTTTTGTAGCTATAATGTCTTACGATGTTGCCCAGGCTGGTCTTGAACTCCTGGGCTCAGCAATCCTCCCACCCCAGCCTCTCAAAGTGCTGGGATTATAGATGTTAGCCACTGCACCCAGCCAAATTAAGGAATTTGAGATGAGGTTATCCTGGATTATCTGAGTCAGGCCAAGAAAATTACCAGGGAGACAGGAGTATCAGATTCTGAGAGCATGGGATGAGAAGCATAGGCCAGAGGTTTGTTGTTTTTTTTTTTTAAATCAGAGTCTCACTTTGTCACCCAGGCTAGACAGTACAGGGAGACCATTGCTCCAAGTTCCGGAATCCTGCAGTTCACCTGAAACAGTACAAAACCTTGCCCATCTTCAAACAGGGATGGCACAGCCCCTGAAATGACCCATACTGGGGTCAAATGCCCCTTCTCCAGACTAACCAGACTCCTCCCTGGATGGAGAAAGGCGTAAGTCCTAACACAACCCATGAGAGTGCAGTGGCATGCGCATGACCACTGCAACCTCAATCTGCTGGGCTCAGGTGATCCTTCCACTTCAGCCTTCCAAGTACCTGGAACTACAGGCATGTGCCACCATGCCCAGCTAATTTTTCTTGATTTATTGTAGAGATGAGATCTCGCCAAGTTGCCCAGGCTGCTCTCAAACCCCCGAGCTCAGGTAATACTCTCACCTCTGCCTCCCAAAGTGCTGAGATTATAGGCGTGTGCCTCCATGCCTGGCTAATTTTTCCTGATTTATTGTACAGATGAGATCTCATCAAGTTGCCCAGGCTGGTCTCGAACCCTTGAGCTCAAGCAATCCTCTCACCTTGGTCTCCCAAAGTGCTGGTAGTACATGCATGAACCACCACACTCAGCCAGAAAGAGATTTTAAAATGCTATGCTAGTGGCTTTGAAGATAGAGGAAGGGGCCACAAGCCAAGGGATGCACCAGAAGCGGGCAAGACAAGGAAACAGATTCTCCCACAGGGCCTGTTTGATTTTAGGGCTTCTGAACTCCAGAATGGTAAGACGCCATTACATTTGTAGTAATCTGGCCACTTGTTTTCCAGCAAGAGGAAACTAGGACAGACTAGAAAGTCAGCCATGGGAGCACAGGGGGAAGGAAGAATGCTCCATAAAGAACGAACAGCAAGTGCAAAAGCCCTGAGTCTGGCCCAAAGAGGCCGGTGTGAATGCAGCAGGGCTAGTAAGAGGGGTGTGGAAGGAGGGAAGTTCAGAGGTCAGGTCGGGGGTGGATCTGTGTCAGAGCTGGCAGGCCTAGTGAAGAGTTTGGATTATAACTTCAATTACAGTGGGGAATGGGCACGGTGGCTCACACCTGTAATCCCAGCACTTTGGGAGGCTGAGGCAGAAGGATCACTGAAGCCCAGGAGTTCGAGACCAGCCTGGGCAACACAGTGAGACCTTGTCTTTACAAAAAATACAAACATTAGCTGAGTATGGTGGCGCATGCCTGTAGTCCCAGATACTCGGGAGGCTGAGGAAGAAGTATCGCCAGAGCCCAGGAGGTGGAGGCTACAGTGAGCTGGGATCACACCACTGCATTCTAGCCTGG